CACCATCTAAACCAGGTTCCAAAGTCTGGGTGCTGGGGTGGAAGGTCAGCAACTCCCAGGTGGACAGTCATGAGTCCTAGCAGAAGTATACCCTTGGGGAAGAGGAACCCAAACATTTGAAATGGTTCATTTTTTCAAGGGGTTGTTGACTGGGAACTCCTGTGTGCATGCACTGTCCAGGGGGTGCCCTCACACAGGCAGGTTCCTGCAAGCAGACAGCATTGAGACCTGTTCCGTTGCCTGTCCCCAAATGTCCCTTGAGGGCAAGGATGTTGCCTGGATGGTCCCCTGAGTCCCCAGATCAATGTGTAGAATAGGGTGGCTGCAGCCTCTGCTTAGAATGGAAGGATGTGAAAAATGCGTGACCATGACCATGTATGGAGTCTGGGTGTATTATGACATTAACAGAAATTGGACAATTATGAGAGAGAATTATGGAGGGCAGGCACTGATTTCTTCCTACCTTGAAAAAATTTATTTTTATACCCAGCTTTATTGAAGTAGGGCTTCCCCTGTGGCTCCGCCTTCAATACAGGAGACCTGGGTTTAATCCCTGGGTTGGGAGATCCCCTGAAGAAGGGAAAGGCTAGCCACTCCAGTATTCTGGCCTAGAGAATTCCATGAACTGTATAGTCCATGGGGTTGCAAAGAGTCAGGCATGACTGAGTAACTTCTGCTTTCACTTTATTGAAGTGTAATTGACAAACTCCCATATATTTAAAATATGCAACATGCTAATATGATGTTATGTATATGTTGTGAAATGATGACCATACTCAAAGTGGTGAACACAATCATCACTTGCTATGGATACCTCTCTGTTTTGGGTGATGATGCTTAGACTTACTCTCTTAGTAAATTTCTGGTATTCAATGAACTATCATCACCAAGCTATATATTAGATCCTCAGAACTTAATTGTCTTAAGACTTTTTGCTCTTTGACTAATATCTCTCATTTACCAACCCCTCAGCCACTAGCAACCACTACTCTTCTCCCTGATTCTATTGGGCTCAAATGCTTTTTCTTATTTTACGTATAAAATAGTGCCATAAAGTTTAGGTTTCTCTGACATTTCACATAAAATAATGCCTTCTAGGTTCATCCATGTCGTTACAAATGTTAGGATTTCCTATTTTGATGTTCTGTAGTATATACACAGGTTTCCTCTGTTCTCAGAAAGTGGAACATTCCTATGAAAACTTTTATAAGCTGAAATAGCATAAAGCAATGAGGCAGTCACCTTAGGCTACTTCTTGCTAAAGGATTAGCAAAACAAATGATGACAAAGCACAGATAGTCACAGAGAGAGTTCAAGGCTATGGTTCTTCATGCTGAGATGCTTAATGTAGTTCCCCAGGGAGGATCTGCCAGTCTACTCAAGTTCACTTCAAAACAGATGATGAACACTATCTTCACTTTCAACTCTTCTTTTTTGTGTGTGTAGATTACTGAAAACAAGTACTAGTGTTGGTTTTCCATAAAAGGAAAATAGTTATCTTTCAAAAAGTGCTGGATACCTGAATAACACATAGTCATTCATTTGCTGAACAGACACTTGGGTTGTTTCCATATCTTGGCTATGGTGACTAGGGCTGCATTGAACCTTGGAGTTTAGATCTCTTTTTGAGATATGAATTTCATTTCTTTTGAACACCCAGCAGTGGAATACAGGTTCATAGAGTAGTTCTAGTATTTAATTTTTCAGGAAGTTCCATACTGTTTTCCACAACAGCTGCAAAAATTTGCATTCCCAACAGTAGTGCTTGAGAATTCCCTTTACTCCAAATTTTGCCCCAGATATATATCTTGCCTTTGTGATATAGTTATTCTATCAGGTAGAGGTGTTACCTTACTGGAGTTCCTATTTGCATTTCCTTAATAAAGATAAAGACCAATACAGCATACTAATGCATTATATGGAATTTAAAAAGATGGTAATGATAATCCTATATGCAAAAGAGAAAAAGAGACACAGATGTACAGAACAGAATTTGAGACTCTGTGGGAGAAGGCGAGGGTGGGAAGTTCTGAGAGAATAGCATTGAAATAAGTATACTATCAAGGGTGAAACAGATCACCAGCCCAGGTTGGATGCATGAGATGGGTGCTCAGGGCTGGTGCACTGGGAAGACCCAGAGGGATGGGATGGGGAAGGAGGTGGGAGGGGGGATCGGGATGGGGAACACATGTAAATTCATGGCTGATTCATGTCAAAGTATGGCAAAAACCACTACAATATTGTAAAGTAATTAGCCTCCAACTAATAAAAATAAATGAAAAAAAAGAAGAAAATGTATGAAAAGCAAAATAAAATAAAATAAAATAAACAGTATCTTTTCATGTGCCTATTGGACACCTGTGCATGTGTGCTCAGTTCCTTCAGTCTTACTACTTTTTGCAACCATATAGACTTTAGCCAGGCTCCTCTGTCCTTGGATTTCTCCAGGCAAGAATACTGGAGTGGGTTGCCGTTTCCTCTTCCAGGGGACAATTGCTCTATCTCTTGACTAATTGTTCCCTTTCATTATATAATGACCTTCTTTCTCTCATGTAACAGCTTTGGCCAGTGAATTTTCCTGATATAGTGTAGCTAATCTGGGTTTTAGTTTCCTTTTCCATGCAATATATTTGGTCCTCATTTCACAAGCCTACTTGTGTCCTGAAATCTTAAACATGAATCATATGATGATTTTTAAAACTCTGTGGGACAATATCTATGTAAGGGTGGTGGGATATTTTTACATTCATCTAGACTTCCATTGATAGATAGGGTGGCATAGGAAGAATTTTCATTTTAGAAATGTTACTCTGATTGTCTTGAAGGTTACATAAGATGCAGTCCTCTAATTCACAGAGGCCAATTAAGAGACAATTGCAGGCTTTTAGGCAACCAATGATGGATCAATAGGAAGGGAGAAGCATAAACGTGAACTGGGATTTGAGCTAAGTAGGGTACATGAGTTTCTTTTTTTTTTTTTTTCCAAGACTCGACAACTGAAGCTCAGTTATTGGGCAATAGCCAGGAGGCTTCAAGAGACTCTTACCTTGAAGCAATGGAAGAGCTTGAGGCATTTTTCCAAGAACTCAATGACACGTATGGGACAGAAACCTCAGCAGCACCAGAGGCAGAACTCTGTGCATCCCTGCCCATGAAGAGGACAGCCAAAAGGAGTCCATGCAGAACCAAAAAATCTTTTGACTCATGGTGATGATTTATATATGTCCTAACATCCCTCAGACACTTCTTATGCGGAACTAACATCAACCCATGTTAAAGCGCTTGATTTGCTCCATGGAAACTTAGGCAAGGTCCTTTTTGACCCAAGGTGACCTCTTTTGAAGACAGTAGACCAGCAGTAACATCCCAGATGCCAGATGTCACTGACATCCCAAACACATCCTGAGATTTTAGAGGCTGGATGCAGACCTAGAGCTGGGGGAGTAAAATCAGTACTTCGTTGAGTCCATTTTTTCTGAGGCCCTCACAGTTATATCTGTCAGAACTCACTAAGGAATTCTCTAGTCTTGAGGAGCTTTTGTCTTGTCTTGTCTTGTCTTGTCTAGTCTTGAGGAGCTCTAGTCTTGAGGAACTCTGGAGGAGTTCAGTAATGGAGGAAGGGGAGCAGACTGGCATGACACTATTTCAAGAGTGAGGATGGGAGGAAAGGAAGTGCCAGATTAAGATATTATTAGAAGTTGACTTTCCATGAGGCCTTCGTCTCTGAGAATCCATAGATTTTCATGGTCCTTCTTGGTGGACTGTCTCCACAGTGACATTGGCCTCATGAGCATATCCTATTTCTACACCTCCAAGTGACAGTGGCCTTTGCACCACTGTGGTTGGGAAATTTTCACTTAGGTTCAAGCATGATTATATATAGCAGTTAAATTTAAGGCCATCTCTCATTTCTATGGATTTCGTTTAGAAGAAGACTTCAGAATGTCCTCAGCTTACCTTATTCAATGGTTGTATCATCATAAGTTTTGATTATAGCCCTTGGGCAAATTATCACAGCTGTCTCTCTGCTCTGAGAGTCAGGACAAGGTGGAAGAGTCTGTCTGGGCTTTCTTGGAAGGGATGAGAATGGGAGATCATATTTGGTAATACAGGATACAGTCACTGAGACAGTTTGCTGAGAAAGGCAGACTGAGAAAGGGACCAGATGGGGATATGGCAAAAATGAGCAGACTGATTTGATCAGAGTACGACAAGAGCTGCAAGGAGGCACACAGGGTGAAAAGGTGTGAGATTACTGACCTCATGGCTTTTGCCTGTTAATTGTAAACTTTCTACCAGCTGTTTAGGAAACCTAGACATCCAATGATGGTGGGTGTGTGGAATTAGGATTTGAACTGGGTATGTCTGACCAGTGGCTCATTCAGTAAAGAATCCGCTTGCAATGTAGGAGAACTGGGTTTGATCCCTGGGTCAGGAAGATACCCTGGAGAAGGAAATGGCTACCCACTCTAGTATTCTTGCCTGGAAAATCACATGGTCAGAGGAACCTGGTGGGCTACAGAATGGGGTTGCAAGTGTTGGACATGACTTAGTGACTAAACTACCACCACCACATCTGAACTTCCTTTTTTTTTTTTTTTTTTTTTTTTTGCAGAAACCCACAACTGAAGCTCTAGTTTACTTATCAGGCAACAGCATAGAGGCTTCCATGAGATCTTACTTTCTGACACTTGAGGACATTGAGGAGTTTCTCCAGGAGGTCAATGAGACATATAAATCAAGAAGCCCAGCTGCACCAGAGTCAGAGCTCTGTGTACCTCTGACTGCCCATGTTGAGGTCAGCCAAAAGGAGTCCCTGAAGAAGCTGGTGATGAATTTTTTGAGGCCCACAATGATGATTTATGCATGTCTGTCACCCTGGGACATTTTTTGTCCATGTTAAAGCCTTACTTTGCCCTTTGGAAACATAAAGTGACTTTCTTTTTGACTCCAATGTGACCTCCTTTGATGAGAGAAACCCTACAGCAGCATCCCAGTTGATGGATATCACTGACACTCCGAAGACATTTATCACTGATTGTCAAGTAATAGCCATTAATTCAAACAAGTTGATAATCCCCAATGAGGGTAGCCAGATGAAGACCCTCAATGATGACCAGAGCCCCTATGGAGGTCAGATGACCTTCAGTGGGGTCCAAACAACCTATCTGGGTCAGATAAAGACACTCAATGATGAAGACACTCTCTATGGAGTCTATATGATGCCATCTTTGCTATATCCTAGAATTCTGTATGTTTCCAGCCCTCATTTGATCCAAAGACAATGCTTAGAAATGCAGAAGTGGAATCCCAAGACTCAGAAGTGTCCATTGTAGAAGAAGCCTGGCATTTTGAGGTCCTACATCTGTACCTATAAGAACTGTGGGAAAGCATATGCCAAATCTTCTCATCTGCGAATCCATGAGCGTGTGCACACAGGTGAGTAAAGACTGAAGGATGGGGGTGTTAGGAAAATAACTAAAGGCCTCTGCCTTTACAAAACATTGGGATCATTTGAGATCACTGCCACCTCCCTCTAAATCTGGGACCCAGAAGACTTTAGAAAAGATTGGCCGATCTGAAAGGGTATAAAAAACAGTCCTAAGAACAGACTCTACTTCAACTCCAGAGGCAACCTGGCTGCAGCGTTTTGTGGTGTTGACTGCCTGGGATAATGAAAAAAGTGGAGGGATTTATTTGACCTCTTAGGATGGGACTGTCTCTTTATGGACTCCCATAGTCCCAATAGATAACCCCCCCCCAATGTTCTCTGCCCACCACTGTCTTTCTGATTCCCCTCCTAGTTTTCTTTCTCTTTTCCTCTTCCTCCTTCAGTCCTCTAGCCTATCCTGCCCTCCTCCTCTTCCTTTCCTGTACAGACCTTCCATTCCTGTCTTCTGTCTCTCTCTGTCCCACTCGAAGACGACCATTTTTCTTCTCCATTCTTTTCCAACTTCTCTGTCCCATGCTACCTTGAATCATGACAAGTCTCCCTTTCTTTCTTGTTTCCAGGAGAGAAGCCCTATAAATGTAATGTGGATGGATGCAGATGGGCATTCTCCCGTTCATCTGAGCTCAACAGACACAAGAAAACGCACACCAGGGAGCGGCCCTACCTGTGTACTATATGTGACAAAGATTTTACCCCATCTGATCACTTAAAGCAGCATCAGAGAGTTCACAGATGAATTTCTCCCATGATGACAAACCCAGCAGCCTTTGAGGAAATGACTTGAACTGAAAGATTCTCCCTGCTAAGACTTTGATTGGCACATGGCACTGTGCCAGCACATAGTAGATGTTTAATATTAATTGTACATTTTAAGGTTTTCATTAAATTTTGTATAAATGTAATGTATAAAGAATATGTGTATGCATTTCAGTAGCACTCTGCATTTACTTTTCTGTTCATAGCTAATGTTTTCATCAGTGTGCTATGAAACCTTGTAGATGGATGCCTTTATTTCTATTTGTACATGAAATATGTTTTATGTAGATGATTGTAATGCATGCATAGTTCAAATGTGCTAAGAAATTAGCATTTCAGTGGGAGGTGGGAGGGAGGTTCATATGTACACTTATGACTAATTCGTGTCAATGTTTGGCAGATATCAAACCAACATTGTAAAGCAGTCAGCCTTCAATTAAAAGGAAAGTAAGAAAAAAATGAAGAAAGAATGTAGTATTTCACATATGAGCACTTCATTTATTTCTTTGAAGGTCCATTTCTATGGAGTTAAGAGGAAGGGGATGCTTGGTCACTTTCAGTGTCAAGTGGTCTCATTAAATGATACTCATTTGGGTGAACTTCATTAAAGAGTTGAACCTCCTGTTTCAGCTGTTTTTCTCTAAGGCAAAGTGTTTCTTTCCCCCTTCTGCTTTCTCAGGACACAGTAGGTGGTGGTGTTGGAGAAAGACTGGTCAAGTGCTGGCTGCCAAGAGAAAGATGTTTCCTTTCCATGAGGCCTCAGGCTTCTGTTGACATGTCTGTAGCTTCAGTGACCTGGGGTCTGTTTCTCTTGTCCTGGGTATGGCTGAACACCTGTTCCTGAGGAGCTTAGCCATCTTCATCTGCTGTCTAGGTCCTTCTCCCAGCTCTTGCAGGCTTTGTCCTCTTAGGTCTGACTTGGACCCTCATCCAAGTGCCAACTTAAATAATATTCCTTTGAAAAAGTGTCTGGGTAAGCCCTTCATTTATTTCCAAGTTTGGGGGCCACTCAGAGAGGCATTTTTTACTGTAAGACTTCAAAAAGAAGCAGACTGCAAATCCCAGGGCTTCAGTTTTCCCTGCAGCATTTGAAGTTCTACTTGACCCACCCACTCTCACTTCAGAGGCCCCAGGAGCTAGATTCCTGAGTCTTTGAGAGTCTCACATTAATTATCTCTTAATGTGGTATTGAGTATGATATGATTTAATATAAGTACAAAAATAAACATCTGTGAGAGCCCATCACCCAATGGCCTGCACTCAGATATTGAAATGATCAATCAGGACAAAGAGCCAAACTGAAAGTAGAGATCAAGGTTTTATTCACTTACTGCTGGAGAGTGAGCAGGGAACCAAAAGGAGAGGTGTCAGCTCTCCAACATTCCTTCTTTCTTTGTGAAACACCAGGCAAGGGTTACATTGCATATAGTTATGGGGGAGTTCTCTCATTACCTCCAACAAAAGACCCTTACCGTTTTGTGGAAGGAGAGAGAAGTGGAAAAGAGTAATTCTAGGAGTGGAAACATATTGAGTCAGATGGGAGAAAAATGCTTCAGCCAAGACCCCTAGTAAGGAGGTGTGGGTGTCCTTGCAGCTGCTTGCTTCAGAGATTTGCACTGCAGGGATCTGCACCAGGTCTGGTGTATGGAGGGGAGCTTCCAGTATGAGGTCATCCATAGTCTTGCAACGGCCTGGCCCAAAAGATCACAAATAGGTATTGGCCTCCTGGAATTGGACTCTTTAATTCAACACCTGGATCCTTTAGGATATGAATGATAAGCAGAGGTTACACCATCAAGTCCTCTGTGAGCCAGACATTGAGGGGGTGTGACCATCGTGACTGCTAAGTATAAGGGCCATGATCTAAGCCACTCCAAGTCAGATGATTAGGCCTGCCTGGATGAGAGGCTCATGAGCAAACATGAGCCTCTCTGTTTGCTAAGTGAGATTAAGACAGCCTATAACCCATTAGCGTCTATTCCAGAGGGCCAGAAGGCCTTCTGTCTCAGCCTCCTAATGGACTGCTCTAATTTGCCAGTTTTCTTGATCCAAGTGTTGGCAATGGCACAGATCCCCTCCTTGACTGGGAAGCTGGAAGCCAAGGACTAAACAGTTAGCCAACACTACTCAGGCCAAAGAGTGGGAGCTATTCTGTTGTGCCTCCAATGCTCAGAGAATATCACTAATAACTTCAGAAGGGCCGAGGGCAGGTTGCATAGAACTTTTTTATAATTGGAGGCTTCCAGCAGTGAGAGAAACTACCCAGTCTATGTAGAGTAGGAGTGAGTGTAGGAAGAAGGCCACCACTCAGTTCAGTTCAGTTCAGTTCAGTCGCTCAGTCGTGTCCGACTCTTTGCGACCCCATGAATTGCAGCACGCCAGGCCTCCCTGTCCATCACCAACTCCCGGAGTCCACTCAAACTCATGCTCATCGAGTCGGTGATGCCATCCAGCTATCTCATCCTCTGTCGTCCCCTCCTCCTCCTGCCCCCAATCCCTCCCAGCATCAGGGTCTTTTCCAACGAGTCAACTCTTCGCATGAGGTGGCCAAAGTACTGGAGTTTCAGCTTCAGCATCAGTCCCTCCAATGAATATCCAGGACTGATCTCCTTTAGGATGGACTGGTTGGATCTCCCTGCAGTCAAAGGGACTCTCAAGAGTCTTCTCCAACACCACAGTTCACAGGGGCTACAGCGGAGAGGAGCAACCCCACTTCCAAGGAGCTGCTGCTGTGGGGCGCAGGAGGGCTGAGGGGAACTACTCCACATTCAGGTCAGGAGGGGCGGCCGTGAAGAGATACCCCATGTCCAAGGTAAGAGAAACCCAAGTAAGATGGTAGGTGTTGCCAGAGGGCACCAGAGGGCACACGCACTAAAACCATAATCACAGAAAACTAGCCAATCTGATCACAGGACCACAGTCGTGTCTAACTCAATGAAACTAGGCCATGCCGTGTGGGGCCACCCAAAATGGTAGGGTCATGGTGGAGAGGTCTGACAGAATGTGGTTCACTGGAGAACGGAATGGCAAACCACTTCAGTATTCTTTCCTTGAGAACCCCGTGAACAGTATGAGAAGGCAAAATGATAGGATACTGAAAGAGGAACTCCCCAGGTCGGTAGGTGCCCAATATGCTAATGGAGATCAACGGAGAAATAACTCCAGAAAGAATGAAGGGATGGAGCCAAGGCAAAAACAATACCCAGTTATGGATGTGACTGGTGATAGAAGCAAGGTCCGATGCTGTAAAGAGAAGTATTGCATAGGAACCTGCAATGTTAAGTCCATGAATCAAGGCAAATTGGAAGTGGTCAAACAGGAGATGGCAAGAGTGAATGTCGACATTCTAGGAATCAGCGAACTAAAATGAACTGGAATGGGTGAATTTGACTCAGATGACCATTATATCTACTACTGTGGCAGGAATCCCTTAGAAGAAATGGAGTAGCCATCATGGTCAACAAAAGAGTCTGAAATGCAGTACTTGGATGCAATCTCAAAAACGACAGAATGATCTCTGTTCGTTTCCAAGGCAAACCATTCAATATCACGGTAATCCAAGCCTATGCCCCAACCAGTAATGCTGAAGTTGAATGGTTCTATGAAGACCTACAAGACCTTTTAGAACTAACACCCAAAAAAAGATGTCCTTTTTATTATAGGGGACTGGAATGCAAAAGTAGGAAGTCAAGAAACACCTGGAGTAACGGGCAAATTTGGCCTTGGAGTACAGAATGAAGCAGGGCAAAGGCCACCACTAGTGTAGCCAAAATTCTCTGATGGTGGATCGTCCACTGCTCTTCCAGTTGTTCTGGTGGCCTCCTTCTCTGATAGGAGTGAACTGACATTTAGGGAGGTGTTTTGCTCCTGCAAAATCCAGTTGCATCAACAAAGAATGCCACACTGATGATGCTGGAAAGGCCCTAATTGGCCAATAATTGCCTATCAAAGGATATGCACTTTCCAGGCATATCAGAGTTGGTGAATCCAAAGCCAACTAACACAACTGGCCTATGACACTGTTCTCCTGCCCTAGACTCCAATTAGTGATCTGAGAGTGTGTGGAGACATGTAAGACAAGAGCAAATGTAGATAAGTGGGATCCAGGAAAAGGGTGACTGGTTGGGC